TAAAAAGAGCTGCCAAAAGTATAAACAACTGTGTTAAATCATTTTCATTTATTCAGAAGACACAGCGCTGCGCACCGTACAGAAAATTCTTAAAAAAATCTTAGAATAAGAAAACATTGGTGAATGCCACAAATTCTCCTAAATCACTCGTACGCACAACTTAAGAACAAATCTGTGTGTACGAACGGTTCTTGCATGAGGCCCAATGACTCAGATAAAAATCGTTGTGAACATGTAACACCTTATTGACTTCAAATATCGTGCAGCTAGCACCTTCCTGTCTCAAGTTATGACTAAAGTTAATATTTATATTTTAAAAATATAGGCATTTCCTGGTCAATTCAACCAAGCTACTCCCAGCTGCCCCCCAGCTTCCCCAAACCCCATCGTCAATCTAACCCTGTGGTTCTCAAACTTGGTCCTCAAGGAGCCCTACTCTGCATGTTTTAGTCGTTTCCCTGCTCTGCAGTAATGCTGTGTTCTGATTACATCATATTCCCGGAACTGGTAAATGGTAGTGACGTTATTTCCTAACAAACCACATGAAACTGCATTCCAGTTAGCCGACAGGCGATTGTATTGTTGCCGCTAACCTAGCTACAACACTGATACAATATAAACAATGACAAAAAGAGAGCTCTACTACGTACGTCATGCAAATAAATATGTATTTTAACACATACAGTATTGCACAGAAAACACACTACTTGTGCGAGTGATTAAACATGCACAAAAAATTAAGATAATTAACTGTAAAAGTTACGGAGTTAACTTTATAAAGCTGCCAGTAGCCGCCATCTTGAAATCGAAACTGGGGGCAGTTTCATTTCTTCCACTATACGAGTGGAATATTACCATTGGAGGGGGCGTTCCAGTTTAAATCTACCAATAGGAACAGGGAAATTACTCTAAGTTCTGCAGAAGCCTGTCAATGACTCGTTGATTTAAACCAGCTGCCAAAGCAGGGAAACAACCAAAGCATGCAGGGTAGGGGTCCTTGAGGATCAGGACTGAGAACCACTGATCTAACTAATCACGCTTTGGGTAAACTACGCTCACAAAGGACCAACAGACCAATCACGTCTTGCGCCAACTCCTCCCACAAAATAAGAAACTCCTACTTTATTCATTCGATTAATTCTGAGCATTCCAACTTATTCTAGATTAGTGGGAGAAAAGTCAGATTACCTGTTCGTGAATGATGTCTGAAAGTTCCTTCACCATCTCTTTAAAATTGGACTTCAGGCCCTCGTGGTACTCGAACTGATCCTCTTTAATAAGCCGCTCATTTATGTCCAGAGCCATGCTGCACACCTCCACAAAACGTCTGCAGGGGTTAGGATTAGAAAAAAATAAAAATAAAATAAAAAAACACAAAAGAAATAAGCTAGATCTGGAGCATACATCAGACCATACAGGTTTCTGAGAGACAGGTTCACCTGAAAACATCCTTGAGTTCTTTGGTCTTCTTACTGCCGGACGAGCTGGGTTTGCTGTCATCCAGGAAAGCCCGGGCGTACGCCATGGGGCCTGCGTTCACCTGAGGCAAAACACAGCAAAACAACTCAGATAATCCTCCTGCTTTGCCCCGTTAGAACTCACTGAACAAAAGAAAGAGCCCTGAAACGTTGACCTTCTGTCTTGTTTTTTGATTATTATTATTTATTTGTTGGCTTCTACCTGCACAGAGACGCAGCCCTGCAGTTTGAGCTGCAGCTGGATCATGTCCACCTCCTGGCTGGAGCACAGCTTGGCGAGCTCCGCTGTCCGAGCCTTCATCTCGTCGATGGCCACGTCCACGGGCTTCAGCTCCACGTGCTTCTCGCCCACCACCTCGATGCGCTTCTTCACGTACGGGAACGTGTTGGCAGCTGGAGGCGAGAGAGTTTTCTAAACATCACCGGGTTCCAGATGTTAGCACTAATGTGTTTACTTGAAACAAGCAGAAACAAAAAAAGCGTCTATCGTTGTCTCGTCAGTGTGCCATTACCATTACTTTAACAAAGTGCTGCTTCTACTTTGTAAGAAAAGACTCCTGTTTTCAGCCATTAAATGGATCTGATCCTCTCTCCAAACACAAAGCAGAAGTATTATTAAAGGAATCCACGATTAGTTGTAACATTAGACTTTATTTGATAAACATATAGTTTAACTGTAAAATAAAGACTGTAAAAATACTGTAGGCTGTTTAGTTTTTCAAATTAAAAAAAAAAATATTTTAACACGGACAGAGCCATTTTATTAACATGCAAAGCATTCTGGTTATGGATGGGTACCGAATTCGATACTTTGTTAAGTACAGACCGAATTCTGTCGGTACTACCGAGTTTTTATTCACGAAACATCAAACAGTACCATGTTTTGGCACCTAAATGCATCATTGCGACCGTATTGGCGTAAGAGTGGTGAGTTTTCCATGCTCGTCCTGAACGCAGCATCGCGCAAAAGCCTAATGACGTCAGCAGCCACTGGTAAAGAACGTAGCTTGAAAGAGAGTCTTACAGCGCACAGTTCCTGGAGTGAAACTAACCAAACAGATCGCCTCTGAATTATCTGGTGGATTAATTATCTTGTGAACACAACGTCGGCTCAAAGTAAATAAAGTACCACCAATTTTTTTTTTCATCCACCATTAAACAGAGACCGGCAGAGGAAAACAACAGAGGTGMTTCCTGACAGTCTGAACACGTCTGACCTAAAGAGCACAAGCAGCCAACTTGAAGTGTTGGAGCGTTTTGGATGTTCAAACCGTAGTTTGAATACTTTTTATTTATTTAACTCCATCCTCTTTTGCTTATTTGCCTTCCATGGACCTCCATCACACAGTTTTTCTAACGGGGAAATGACATCAATAGAAATACGTGGAGCTGGATTTTAATTTGTGCAATAAGACAAAACAGTCTTGTTGTTTTCAAGAGTTTCCACTTTAAAGAAATAAGTTACACAACTGATGTTACAATACAAAGAGTTGGATGTTGTCTTGATATTTGTTAATTTTATATATTGAGAAATATGTTTAAAAATAAAAGTTTATTATTAAAAAAACAACACACACAAAGTACCAAAAATTGGTACTGTTAAGTACCGGTACCAATTCCCAGGTACCGGATATTGGTACCGAATTGATTCAAATGCCAAAGGTACCAATCCCTAATTCTGGGTAAATGATGACGTGGATAGGTCCTCGGTGTGAGGCTGCTAGCGAGCTATATCCACCCTGAAGGTTATTCTTGGACAATATCTGATGATCGACTCTTTTAAATGAAACCAGAGAGCGTTGACAGAGAGGAGAAGGTAGAAATGACTCAGCCTGGAACTGAAAACATAGATGGAGGACCTCAGTTTAGCTTGTTAGCTTTAGCATTAGCCCCGATGCTATCACCATATATATGTATTAGCTCAGCCTTACACATTCTTCTCTCATCACTGAGGTCCTCCATCAATATTTTCAGTTCCAGGCTGAGTCATTTCTACCTTCTCCTCTCTGTCAACGCTCTCTGGTTTCATTTAAAAGAGTCGATCATCATATATTGTCCAAGAATAACCTTCAGGGTGGATATAGCTC